ACTGTTAACATGATGTTCAAATGCAATTCAATGATACATTAACAACCCAAAAAGTTTTCACATAAATCTAGTTCAACATTGTTCAAATTTGTTCATACTCAAATGATAATGCAATAAAAATTTAAATTGCAAAAAGAAAAGAAAACAGTTATAAAATACTGGGTTGCCTCCAAGGAGCGTTTGTTTAACGTCTACAGCTCGACGCCTGTTGCTTTATGGTTCATCCAAGTAAGTGATGAAGTGAAGTTGGTCCATTGCATCTCCCAAATATACTTTAATTCTTTGCCCATTAACTGTCCATATACTTCTTGTTGCTGGATCTTTCCAATTCCACAGCACCATAAGGTTTAACAGATCTTATCACGCATGGCCCTGACCATTTGGATTTTAGTTTCCCAGGGAAAAGTCTTAACCTTGATTAAACAACAACACAGAATGGCCTGGATGAAAGTCTCTTTTCAAAATTTTCTTATCATGATATGCCTTAACTTTCTCCTTGTATAACTTGGAAGATTCATATGCATTAAGTCTCATTTCTTCTAATTCATGCATCTGAATTTTTCTTTTCTCTGTTGAAGCTTTTGGATCAAAATTTAGAAATTTTAAAGCTCAATACGCTTTATGCTCCATTTCCACTGGGAGATTACATGACTTCCCATAGACAAGTTGAAAGGGAGATAACCAAGTGGGAGATTTATATGCAGTTCTATAAGCCCAAAGTGCATCATCTAGCTTCATTGACCAATCTTTTCTTGAAGCTGAAACAGTCTTTTCTAATATTCTTTTGATTTCTCTGTTTGAAACTTCTGCTTGCCTATTAGTTTGTGGATGATAAGGTGATGCAACTTTATGTCTGACTCCATAATGCTCCAGACATTTTTGAAGTTGAATATTACAAAAGTGTGAACCTCCATCACTGATTAAAAATCTAGGAGTGCCAAATCTACAGAATATATTCTTCTTTAAAAACTTTATCACCATTTTGGCATCATCTTTTATAGTAGCCACTGCTTCCACCCACTTTGACACATAATCAACTGCTACCAAGATGTATTTTTTAGAGAATAAGGATGGGAAAGGTCCTGCAAAATCGATTCCCCAGCAATCAAATATTTTTACTTCCAACATGATATTCAGGGGCATTTCCTGTCTTCTTGATATTCCCCATGTTCTTTGACAATTATTACATTGTTGAACATAGTTGTGGGCATCATTAAATAATGTAGGCCAGAAGAAACCAGATTGGAAGACCTTTGCAGCAGTCCTCACTCCATTAAAATGTCCACTATAAGGAGAATTATGGCAATGTCAGAGAATACTTTTGGCTTCTTTGCTTGTCACACATCTTCTCAGCAAGTTATCGCTTCCTATTTTGAAAAGATAGGGATAATTCCATACAAAATAATGAGCATCTTTAAAGAATTTCTTCCTTTGGTGCCAAGTGTAATATTCTGGAATAACCTTTGCAGCTTTGAAATTTGTCGTGCCAGCAAACCATGACCTTTCTTGTACCATCATTAGTTTTTCATCTAGAAATTCCTCATGTACTTCTAATTGGTTATTAGTCACTTCAGTATTAACTAATCTGGACAAATGGTCAGCTACCAAATTTTCACTATCCTTTTTGTCCTTGATCACCAAATCAAATTCCTACAACAATAAAATCCATCTAATTAGCTTGGTTTAGAATCTAATTTGGTTAACAGATATTTGATTGTTACATGATCAGTATATACAATAACTGTTGTGTTAGAATCGCACAACGAAATGTTTGCACAAAAACCAAGAGGGGGGTGAATTCGTTTCTGAAAAAAAATTAGGGTTTTAAAAATTTTTCCCAAAATTGTGCCGATTAAAATGCTTGTAATGTAAAGAGATAAGGGAAAGAAGATTACACAGTTAATTTATACTGGTTCAGATCAAAAGATCCTACTTCCAGTTGTTAATCACTCTAAAAGAGGATTAACGTTATCACTATAATCACAATTTACAACAAATTACAAATTGAAAAAGATAAGGAATAGAAAACACCTCTCTTGAGCCACACAAGAGATGAACACTTCCTTTGAATCCACAAAGGATGAACAACAACTTTTCCTAAAGATGGCACAACACACAATCCACCAAGAAACTCACTCAGTGATTCTTATCGCTTCTAGCCCACACTAGGTTTTCAAAAGCCCTTTTTCTTCCCTACACAAAGTCTTCTAGCAATCACAACTCTTAACTTTTGTATGAAAAATGATTGTTATTTTGCAGAGAGCCTTAGAGAACCTTAAGTAGGGAGAATAGGGTCTGGGAAATAATGATTTTCGAAACTTGAAGTATTGGGAAAAGGGTTTTCATAAATTGGTCCAAATTTGAAATTCAAAACTCATAACAGACGTAGATAATCGATTATCTTGAGTGATAATTGATTATTTCAGAACCATTTTCGCAGAGGAGAAGTTTTGGACCAGGATAATCGATTATTTGGCTTGATAATCGATTATTCCAGAGTTTTCAAACTGGGATAATCGATTATCAACCGAGATAATTGATTACTCCAGCAAGATTTTCAGAAAACAGGTTTCAAAGCATGATAATCGATTATTCTGAGTGATAATCGATTATTACAAAGTTATTTTGATAAAAATGAACTTTTAGAGGATGGATTATGTGTTGGCTATCTTGGACTCTAATTTTACAGACTCAAAAAGACAAAATAGAGTTATTACAAGTAAATATAGATGATTATAAGTCTTCAAGTCTTTAAGTCCTTTGTTCTTGAATTATCATCAAAATCTTCAAGTTTCATATCTTTGTATGTTCAACAATCTCCCCCTTTTTTATGATGATCAAAATTTGCTTTAAAGCCCTTTGTAATAACCTATTTTTACTGTCACAACTAACAAAACTATTAAACATACCAGACAACATTATAATTGTTAAACATATCAGGCTTTAAAATATTTTCTCCCCCTCAATCAATGCAAACATAGAATTTTATTCAATAATTTTAATGTAGTACAAACAAGATAAAAGAATTAAAACTCTTCATGATCATGTGTGTAACTTAGAAGATAGATTTGATGCACAATTCAATAATTTTATTCTAAGTTACACACACGATCATGAAGGGTACTACATTAATTTTATTCAATAATTTTAATGTAGTACAAACAAGATAAAAGAATTAAAATCACGATTGGACAATCAAATTATGTTTTTAATTATCTTTTAATTAAAGTAATTATCTTTTATTTAGAAACGTAATTTGATTGTCCAGTCGTGATTTTGGTTGCAACAGTGTAGAAGAAGCTCCAGTAAACTCCAGTAAACGTTATCATATCCTCTAAGTGAGAGTTAGAAACATGTAATCTTATCAAACCTTTGTTTGAGACGCTTAAAAAGAGACTTATTGTACTCGATTGAGTTAGAAGTGACTCAATGAAAAAGAATATTGAATGTACATGAGTGACCATATGAACATGTGATTTAACTCAAAGAAAGTTAAAGAGTAACCAAAAGTAGCTTTGTGTATTCGTTGTAAATTAGGAGTGACAATTGATAATACTTGTTTTTTAATTTATTGATTATAGTGAAACGGTATAACAATTGATGTTAAAAAACAACTAGAAGTAGCTAAGTTTGAGGAAACTAGTATAAAATCAAGTTTTTTTTTTTTTTTTATCTTTTACCTTACTTAGTTGTTTACATAGTACATATTCTTTATACTTGTTTTCAAAAAACATTTTTAACCGTTGCAAAAGTATTTTATAAGTTTTGGATGTTTCATGAGATCATGTAACTAAAACATACTATACTATGAAGTGATATGCTAGTCATCTAGTTAAAAGCTTTTGGGTTAATTGATATGCCAATAATTAGTGACACTTTTGGACAATTTAGTATCCATTTCAAACAAAATTTAAAAGTTCTATTCAAAATTCCCATTTCTAGAACTATATTGTAATATTAGTAGATGCAATTGGCAAATAGTATTGCAGTAATGGATGCAACTAAAAAAATATAGTAAAAGTGACTATAAGAAAAGAACATCTCATTGCACGAGGTCATTTTTGGCATAAGGGGTATTTTTGTCAAATTCAATCATTTACACCACTCTTTTTTTTGGCATTTTTTTAATTCTTGAAAAAAATGACGAAATTGATATGAAATGATTTTCTAGCGTTAAAACATTTTTCTAAATTCATTTGGTAGTGTTTTGCATGTTATGAGACTCATTTTATCATTATTCTGAAAATCAAATCAGACTTTCTAAGAAGTTGTCCCGTGGATCTTTTGATAAATAAAAAAAAATCAATTAAATTAATTGTTCTAAACAAACTTTTAGATTTATTTTAAAAAATATTCTTATAACACAAATTTCAAAAATACTTGTACATATATTTTAATTATTTATCTGCTCTAAAATAGAGTATTACAAAACGAGTATAAAACTGTTTTATTATAATTATGAAAATTTATTATCTTTCTTGATTTTTACATAAAATCTTGAAAGATGTATAAAAAGAAATAAAGAAATTATAAATATTTAAAGCATGAAATCAAAGAGGGGAAAAGTCCATAAGATGCTTGCACATTGATTAAAAGGGAAAAGTCCAAACACATCTGAAAAGATTTTTGTTACATGGTTATTCACAAACCAAGGGGATGAAGATTACTAAAAAAGGAACAAGACAGACCATGGTGTCACATCTATTTTATGCCAAACAAAGAACGCTCTATTGTTCTGTTCCCTATATTTTATCTTTTTTTATTATTATTATGTAAAGTCTTAAAATATATAAAATTTAAATTTACAAAAAGAAAAAGAAAAAAAAAAGATAAAAACATTGTATGTTATATACATAAAACAAGCTTATGGTGTATTGATTAACTTAAGCTGCAAAAAACCATACAACTTCAACAGCAGCGTTCTATTTTCCATTGCTTGAAACAATCTGAATAAATAGAAATCTTTTGAACCAGGAGATAGCAAAAATAATTGATCAGTATTAGGAGGAAGGTTGATTCTGTTTCAAGCTGTGTTCATCCAGCCAAGAAATGATGTCATCAAACGCTTCAGTTATTACTTCATCAGGCTCACCCTCCAGAAGAGCATGGTAAGCATCTTTATAAAGCTTAAGCTTCTTGTCTGAACAGCTTGCATTCTCATACAAGGCTTTGCTCACTGATGGATCAGTCACAATGTCAGCCTCCCCATGAAGGATGAATAATGGTAGAGAAACCTGCAATCATTACCACTTACGTGAGAAGATGCAAAAATTTGATTACACTGACAGAAGATGGTCCAGAGGAAAAAAAGTGAAATTTCAGTTTTAAAGAGTAGTTCTGAAAACAACACTTGATCAAACTAAAAGCACGAGAAATTCTTTAATAGTTCAATGTTCCAACTAATCTCACGTAATCAAGTGTCATTAATTCTTTCTCATTTTGTAGGCGAGGGGAATTTACTGGGGAGACTAACCCCAATTAGATATGAGTTCAACTCATAAGAGACTGACACCACTCTCAACCCAAAACTTTAAGGCATTAAGTTATAGGTCATATTTCCGTATATGTTGCTCAACTTTCTCATTCTTACTCAATGTGGGACTTAACTCACACTTAGATTACCCAACATATTTCTAATCTGATATTATATTAGAAAGTAGATTTGGACTTTCCAACTTGTAAGACGAAGTTTGCACTCTACTTGTATTCTATAATTTAGTCATGAGATGTGATTTCCAATATATTAATATCACATAAAGATTAGTGGAAATTATTGACATGTGATCCTGAATCATGGATTCATTCCTCCAAAAGTATAGTCTTTTTAGCTTCTAGAGTGATAATCTATATAAACTCCAAGATATACTACCATGGAGAAAATGAAACCATTTTAAGGTTGTTAGCTATAGGGCATTTGACTTCAAGATAGTGGTATCTGCCACAGTAATTATAGTTAGCTTGTTTAGTGAGATGAATTATTCAAAGTAGATTCATGTGTTGTAAGAAGCATGAAAATATACTTATTGTCTTCTTAACTTTGAATTTAGAACTTAAGCATTTTATAATTAAGAGAAGAAGATCAATTTAAATGCCCAATATATGCAGTAGAGTGGTGTCTTAGGAACCCAGAGCAAAAGAGCAGTCTTAAAAGGTTTATTCACTATTTCTACATAAACCTCAAGATATTACTTTCTAATGATTTTCAAACATCTGGAAACTTTAAGGGTATTGTAGCTCCTGTTTTAGAATTTATATGCACCAGTTTCAACTATCGAACTAGTTTAGTTGAAATATACCCCTATACAGTATCTTTGTCTTTGCAACCATAAACTTGTGTTCTTTTTGCAACCATATAGTTTAGATAAACGAGAAGATCAGAACATACTTCCTTCAATCGCCGTTCTATTTCTTCAGTGGTTCTAAGCAATTCTACAGCACTCTGCAAGCGTGGTTTACCCTTGTAAGCAATAACATTGTAAGCAGTCTGCAAAGACATTAGAAAAGTGTTAATCTCTTACTAACACAGATTACCAAAAAGAAATGCATGAAAAGAATTGGAGAAAAATGGAATAAATAAGAGGCGCTGAAGGAAAGATGAATCTTAGCTGACCAAAAGTAATATTCTGTTGGACTACATCACAAAATACAAACCTGTTCCTTCTTCTTCGAATCTCTGAATGCTGCCTCTGCTAAATCCTTGTTTGGAACTAACTTATGCTTTGGTAAAATATTGGCTAAACCAATTAGGACTTTAGTAACAAACTTTGGTGGAACCATGTCATCTGCAATCTACACAGGTTTTCTGGTCAAAGGAGATCAAAGCAAAAACTACCAGAACTGCATACATGATTGTGTGTCAGGAAAAATACCTTACACATAGGTGCAACAAGAATGGCACCATCCCATGCCTTAGGTTGTTTCAGGTGTATCTTTAATGAAACAGCTCCACCCATGGACTGTCCAAATAGGAAACTGGGAAGAGAATGGAACTCTGGATTTTCTGCAACATGAACCAATTCTTTTGAATGAATACAACAAAATCGATATGCAAGTAACCAGAAGATGTGAGGGATAGAGATCAAAGGCTAATGCTGAGAAGCAATCTCAGAAAGAATCATATTCATTGATTAAAAGATGATGAGTGAGATACAATGGTGTTTTGTTCATAGAGAACTTACTATTAACTACCCATCAACAACCATTCACTCTCCCAATACATTCTTCCTTGATATTTTTGTATAAGTTGTTTCCCAAGTAAAATGACAATAGTTGTAATATTTTGGAATTTTATAAAGAATTTTGCAACGTTTCCATGTTATTAAAGACACAGTTCTATTTTCCAGGTAGAAAAGAACATCGGCACACATTAAAAACTAAGGTAAGTGCCTTCTTCTGAACACATACTGACACTTAGGTGAAGCTGGGATATTTCCTTCATCAGAAACACAACTCGGAGCTTTGCAACTCATCATCATTGCTTAATAGTGTAGAGTACTTTCAGAAGGAAAAGATCAAATGCTTTATACAAAAGTAAATACTGGTTCAAGATCCCTTAACTCTGTCCAAACTACAAACTAAACATAATCACAAACCACCAGAACGCAACATAGTGATGAAGAATTTCGTGATGACTGAGAATTTCATGACTAGGGGGTTGTTGGGAGTAAAGTTACCTTTGATTTTTGAGTAATGCTCAATAACAACATCAACAAGTCCATCAAAACTGGGAATAAAGCAGTGAAGACCTTCTGAAAGACCAAATCCCGGATAATCCATGGCAAAAACTGCATATCCAGATGATGCCAGCTTTCTAGCAATCCCTGCAAAAGAATCCATGCTGCCATTGAGTTGCTAATCCTCAAGATAACTGAATTTATACTTACAGCTACCAAATCTTAGTACCAGTTACATGCCTTCAAAAAAAAAGGAGCAAGTGTCTCCATAACCATGACAGTAAAACACTGCTGCTTTGGGTCTGGATGCATCAGGAAGCCAACTTTTGCAGAAGATTTCTTGTCCCTTTGAGTTCTTCTCATATAACTGTTGCATAGCACACAAATTAAGTGATTATAACATGCCAACAGAAAAAAAAAGGATAATAACAAGTTGGCATTGATGATGATCCAGAGTAATAGTTGGTCATTCATCATTTGTTTTTGGTAACTACTAAGAAGAAACATAAATTGCATGAAAGCGTTCTAGACTAAACTTCTCACTAACCTCTTCCATTTTCATTCCATCACATGGAGTCTGCAAAACAGCAAACACAAAAGAATCGATGTTAACATTTGAAGGAAATAAAATTTTACTGACTTAAATGAAATAGAACATAACGTGAAACAACCATTGCACCATGTAACCCCAAAAAAAATTACCCCTGCACAAATCGATAATACTAAAAGCCAAGACTATGAAAATGTCAATAAATTGATGGGTTTTAAACAGCATGGAGAAAAAAATGTACAAGCATATGATAGTGTGTGATGCAAATTGAGTAGGAAAGAACAAGTCTGTCATATTAATGAGTCCAAGGAATAATAATAAAATAAAAAAAAAAGGAACCTAACATAGAGCCATTTTGCACAAGTACATGCTAAAAGTCACAACCAATCAAAAACTTAGAAAAATAAAGAGATAGCTTCAACATTCCATGCATAGTGTTCATGTAAGATTTGCTCCAATTACTATTGTAATAAATCTTAAAAGTTTGATTAATTGTGTATATAAGCATTATATTTATGCAAGAATTACTCTAGAAATTTACATATTTTAAGTTATTAAATAATATTAAGCTAAAAAGTGTTTGAATTTTGAAAAGGCACCTACCTAACATTTTGAAAATATATACTTTCATAGTTGTATTGATGGCTGACCCCATTGCATTAAGTACAGAAGTTGAAATTCTGCTACATTTAATAGAATAGAAACCCTCCTCCTCTTATAATGATAAATTAGAATTAAAGTGTTCATCACCCATCTCATATCACTAATCTTAGTTACATTTGTGCAATTTGAGCTTTAACACATTTTTTTTTCTATTAACTCAACCATTGCCAAAGTTAATTTTACAAATTAACCTCGAGTATTTTTAAGAGGTCTTTTTTCCTTTAAGGAAACTAGGGTCAACTATTTTGAAGAGGAACTCACCTTACAATTAATAACTGCAACAGAATATAACAAACAAACCCTCCCTACGCTTTCCCAAAAAGAAGCATAGTCAGAACAGATTATCTTCCTCTTTCCAATGGATTTTCCATCGCAAACCAGAAATCTCAAAGTCAAAGATTCAGATCCACGTACGCAGTAGCCATGTTGAACCGGTTCAACAACCATGTACTTTGTCAATTAATATACTCAGCGTTAAAGAAAGAGAAGAAAGAGAAAAAAAAAAAAAGGCCAAAACCAAATCTTCTGCAACATATCAGATAGATGCAATCCCCCCATAATCAAAAACAGCAAAAAGTTCACTCAAAAGACAAAACCAAGCAAATTAAAAAAAAGGAAGGGTTTAGATTTGCTCATTTCATCAATTCCACAAACAACACCAAAACAAAACAAAACCAAACCTTAAACAATATGTGATCAATTCCAAGCTGAATATCCTTGAAGGCCTCACGTGCACGCCTTCTGGCACCCACTTCATCCATATTTGCATCCAGAATCTTCTTCAATTCTCTATCAACACCTGGTAACCCCATTGATCTTGACACCCTTATCACCTCTCTCCTATTAGTCCTCTTCCTCTGCACACCAAATTTTGCTCTGAATTCTGCACCACCCCAAACTCTTGGATTCAACCTGATCTATGAACCCATAAACAGAATCATAGGAAACAGACTCTGACACACCCCATTCAAAAAAATACATACATATTAAAAAAGCACACTTGCTAATGGGAATAGAATATTGAAAAGAATTATTTTTTTCATTCACTTTTACTAGTTTTTATTCAAATGCCAACCATTCAACGGGAAGGACAGGTAAACCTTTGTGGGTCTCTGAGCCAATATGGATTTAATCATTATTTTATTGGAAGCAACATGAATGGGATCCGCATAATATGAAATACCTGACTCAGGAAAAAGGATAAGATAAGTGGCGAAGAAATTAACTAATCAGAAGCAACTAAATTCAAAAAATAAATAAAGGAAAAATTAGAATAAAAATATAAAAGTATTTCCTTTTCATTTTACTTTCCTTGATAACAAAAATTACGACTGTTGAAAATAAAAAGGATTTTCCAGGTCAAACTTTCTTACTATTTTTTTGGTTGAAAAAACGTATTCAATCATGTCTCCATCTCCATCACGTAACTTTGCTTGGTTTTCTTATTGTGGAAGCAAGAAGTTGACAAAAGTTATAAAATTATTATTTTGGGTTTCTTTGTTCGTTTATATGATTCCGAATTTGATACGAGATGATTAAGATTGGTGATGAAGTTTGAAGAGGTGGGTGGAAAGTTCTACTCTCAAAGGACAAAGAAGATTTTGAAAGAGGAATATTTAATTAATATCACGTCGATATTTAGTTTACAAATCATTTTCCTCGAAATTTGGTTAAGGACTCTTCACTTGTTTTAACAATTATCGGTAGTTTATTTTATTTTTTTAATTCTACTTATATATTTTTAATATATTTAGTTATTAATATCAATGTTTTTATAATATATTTAGTTATTAATATTAATATTTTAAAATCGAATAAAATGGATAATATATAAGCTCAAATTTAAAGATTTAATTAAAATTGATCACACCTAATTCAATTTAATAAAATAATATTTTCATAATATAATAAATTTATTAATAATAATATTTTTTATAAAAATAATAAATATTAATTTATTTTATAAGCAAATAAAATCAATTAAGCGGAATAAAGAGATACTCATAACCCAAAAACAGAGTACATTACAAAGCAGACAAAAGTCATTAAAAAACTCAAAATACATGAAAACACACTAAACAAAATAAATCTAAGGATTATTGTGTCAGTCTACAAGACTAAAAGACATTCTCATACCAGCCGAAGAGATCCACTTCCAAGAATATAGACGAATAGAGTCAAGCAACTCCAACCAATCCATAACTCCTTGTTTGAAGATCACACAGCTTCGATGCAACCAAATAGACCGGATGATCGTAATCCAAATAATAAATATTACTATTTTAATTATTAGTAAAAATTATAAATATAAAAAATTTTAAAAAATAAAAATAGATAATTTTAAAATATAATAAAATACTTATTATTTTAAATTAATGTAATTAATTTATGAACCGATTCTACTTAAAAATTTAGTCAATTATATCGATTTTTTTAATTTTATTCCAATTAAATAAAAATTTAATTATTTAAAAGTAATAAATCAATTTTTAGTGTCCGATTGAATAGAACGGTAAACCGTTTTCAAACACACAGATTAATACAAAATTCTTATGTTTAAAAGGGTTAACATTTTTTTAAATTACTTTAAAATATATTGAAGATATTTTAAAAATATATAGTACTTTTTAATTTTAAGATTTTTTACACTTCTCTTAATACAAATTAATAACAGACTGTGCAATAAAGTAAGAATTAATTAGAAATTAATGATTTTTAAATCTATTCTGACAATCATTAAATTATACCGTGTGATTTGCGTTTAGATATTTATAGTAATTAGTATATTACTATATGAGAAGTAGATGGTTATTTCTAAAAAATGAATTTAATTAAATCAATATAAAATTAAAGAAATAAATACAGAATTAGTAAAATTGGTTGGTTGTTTTTTACAATAATTAAAAAAAATAGTTACTTTTAAAGGATATTTTTTTTTACAAAATATAATATTTAAAAAAAACAGCCTTTATATTTACAGGTTATATTAATTTTACATAATAATGATTTTATTATATTTTTATTTTATATTTATAATTATTAGTCTTTTAATATTTATCGTGTTTTATATTCGAATCTTTTATTATTAATAAATTTTTCCTTTTACAAAAAATTTATTACTACTCATAAATTTATAATTGATTGTTATATATTTATTAAATTATTAAAAAAATTATTTTATTATATTTAATTGAATTTATTTAAACTTAATATCATATTTTTATTAAATACAATTAATCTCATTGGACATTTTTTTAATATTATATATAAAAAACCACTAGATAAGTTAATTTTATTGGGTTAATAACCAAATTAATTTTCACTTTATAAACAACGTAAACAATTTATAAGTAACATAATATATATATATATATATATATATATATATATATATATTAATTAGTTAATTAAAATTAATTCATAATTTAAAAAAAAATAGTGTATCACTCGGTAAAATATTTATTATAAATTGAGAATATAATTTATATACTAAAAATATTTATGTATAATGACTTTCAATTACAGTTTAATTTATATAAAGAACATTTATTATTATAATTTTTAGTTATATGAATAATTCTATAAAGTACATTTCTCAGAGTAAATTTTTATTTTAAAAAATTAATTATATTTTTATCTACAATTTGAAGTGATTATAATTTTGGTCCTTAAATTTAAAAAATAACTTTTTTTAGTTCCTCAATTAAAAAAGTATTATTTTTATCTCAAAATACCAATTTGCAGATAAAATGAGTTGATTAAAGTTTATAGTTCATGTTTAGGATTAAAAATTATTTTAACCTTTAAATTTAATATTCTTTTTTAATTTAGAGGATTTTTTAAAATACAAAAAATACAATGAACCTTTTAAAAATATAAATCTAGGTAATTACACTAATAAATAAATTATCACACCAAGACATTATTAAAGAAAAAAATAGAAATTAAATTAAATGGGATAGAAACAAAAGGCTTTCAACTTGATAAATTGTTGTGGGCCGGGCTCAACTGTTATCTTATGGATCCATGACCCAACTTGAGCCTCTCATATAAAACGCAAAGAAGTTCCTCCAAGAACCCTAGTTCCTCTTTAACCGCAGTGTTAGGGTTTCTGAAGCCTCCAACCAGAAAGAGAGGTAATGTCGCGTGCTTTTCAATTTCATCTCACTCTTAGCTTAACACAAGTTCTTTTGCGGAATTGCTAGCTTATCATTGAGTAAACCATTAACGATTTTCAATTGTCTTTGTTTTGGGACAGGGAAATGGCTCCGAAACCACCTAGTACGGGTTTGTTTGTTGGATTGAACAAGGGTCACGTTGTCACCAAGAAGGAATTGCCCCCACGGCCCTCAGATCGCAAGGGGGTAAGATTAATTTAATTTTAAGTTAACTAGGTTGGTCTTGTTAGTTTAGCGTTTGTAATCATTGAATTGTTCCTGTTTTTTGGAATCAAAGTATTAATCAGTGCAGTGACTATCTTTAGTTGGAATGATGGATGGAGAAAGTTTTAAAATGCATATTTCTCAATTTTTTTTGTTTTAATAAAAATGAGATTTATAATGATTTTTAGCATATGTTAAAGAGTACAAACATTAGGTGTACTAGATGTGTTTACTATTTATAGTTTTCTTAGCTTTTATATGAAAATATTAAGGTATATATATTATAAATGAGCCATAAAGTTTAGCGTCAGAGTTGGAGATTGTTGTGTACAGGTTGCAAGTTACTTTGCAGAATTTTTTGTGTTTTCATATTTAAATATTCGATGTTTGTAAAGCTTTTGTAAACCTGTTATAAAGAGTATAGGTTCTGATTGGGAAATATTTGTGTAGTGGGTGAAATAGATAAGTTGACTTCTGTAAGTTCTTACCCTCTCTTATTTGATAAAATTAAATGAACTCTGTTTAAATATATTTTGGAGATATATTATTGTGTAGTATAGCTTCACCCCTGTGAGAGATGGAATGAGAATTTTGTTTGGAAAAATTGTTACTTTGGTCAGTAAGGGACTCAAATTGTGAACTCATACTATTAGTGGCAAACTGATCCTAATCTTTTTCAATCCTGTTTTTCCCTTTAAGTTAGGCTTTTGCACATGATACATTGTATTCATTGTAGTACAAAATTATATTACTCACTACTGCTGCATTTTGTGGTTATAATAAGACAAGTTGAAGGTTCAAGTGTAATAAGTTTTTTCTAGTGAATTTTACTTGTTAAGATGTCTTAAATTTCCTCTTTTACAAATGAAATAAAAGAGAGGAGCAAAGCTGGATGAGTAAATCCCCTGTCATCCATTGTTCTAGTTTAGTATGACGTTGATTCTACTGTTCTTAATGTGGTTATTTTATGTGTTCCTACATAACAGAAAACCAGCAAAAGGGTGCACTTTGTGAGAAACCTCATACGAGAGGTAGCTGGTTTTGCACCTTATGAAAAGCGTATAACTGAGTTACTCAAGGTTGGAAAAGATAAGAGGGCACTCAAGGTTGCAAAGAGAAAGCTTGGAACCCATAAACGTGCAAAGAAGAAGAGAGAGGAGATGTCCAATGTTCTCCGTAAAATGAGGTAGTTATATGTTCTTTTGTCAGCATTATACACTCCCTTTATATTTTAATTTTATTAATCTGATTGGCATTCTTGAATGCTGATTTTTACTTTTGTTGTGGTTATTTCTTATGTTCTCTTCGTTTTGTGTAGGGCTGGTGGAGCTGGAGACAAGAAGAAATAGGTCTAATTTCCCTAGATGGATTCTATGTTCTTGGTCTTAATTTTGTTTTTGTTAATTGGTTTAGTTTAAGATTTGGCTTTGAGAAATATGGTATTAGTAATGTAAAAACAATGAATTAAATTTTGATTTGTTGAAGTAATGTTCTTATCCATTTAAATTAATTTAAACAGCATTAATTAAAGTTTGAAACTTTCATTTTTAACGAACAAGTTTTCTTTTAATTATTTTACCTAAACTTTCTTTCACGTACAAGTTTCAACTCATTTAAATCCATGAATTTTTTTGCCATCGTAACTGAATATTTTAATTTTTAAAATATACTTGAGAAACAGTTACTAAAACTATTAATCTAAATATTAGTAAAATTTACATTAAATACTATTTTTTATTTTATTAATAAAAGAAAATATGAATAGAGGATATTACACATTGAAGCATACAATTCCGTATGCAAAATATTGTACATATTAAGATTTTAGTTTTTTTTGAAATATTTATTAGTTTTTAATATACAGGCACTATAAAATTCTGTTTAATTTTTTTAAAATCTTAAATATTATTAAACAATAAAATGCAATTTTAAATATTTTATCTAAGATTACTAATGGATGTTACTTAATAAATATGATATAATAAGGTATTTGAAAATTATCTTTCTAACTGTTTTTATTAACTAAAATTATTTTTAAAGGTTTTTAATTTTAATACTTTGATGTATATATTTTATATTAATTAAAGTTACTATATTTTATGTTAAGTTATAATTTTAGTTAACAAACTTAGAAAATGCGATTTTACTCCGTCATGAAAAAAGGTTACAACAATATTTCAAATTTGATAAAAAAATATATTTTAGTTCTTCGTATTTACCGTTTAAGAACTCAATTTGTTATAAAAATATCTTTTTATTTTCTCAACTTTAATTATTTATGGATTAAAATATTCCACATACTTGTTTTTTAATTTGAAGAATTCAAATTAAAATTTACTCAAAATTGCATACTTTAACGTAATTAAACCTATTTGTATTCTATCAATATATTCTTCCATTTTATTTTAGTGAAGCAATCAATTTATAATAAACTTAATGTTTTTATTTTTTACCAAATAAAGTTTAGCATCAAAGAAAATTTTAAAATATAAACAGGAAAAATTAAAAGTTACCAAGGAATTTTTCTCATTACTTCTCGATATCTTTTTTTAACCAAAAAATTTTATTCCGATTTCATATTAAAAATCAACCATTAAACTAAAACATTTATTATATTTAAATATATTATATATTTATAACTTTTTTACAAATATAAATCATACATAAATATGTTTTTCAAAGAATTATAATTTTTAACTATAAAATTCTACAATTTATATATTTATCTTTTAATTTATCTATAAATATAAGAAAATATAATTATAGATGTATAGACAACAATTTACAACATACCTTTTTTATATAATTTTATGATAAAAACATTTAACAATTTTTAATTTTTTTTAATAACTTTACAATAATTTAAACTACACCACCAATTCAAACCTAACAATAAAACATTAATTTATTTAATTCAAATGTTATATTATATTGAAATTGATCCACGTTTAATTTTATATTTACCTTTTAATAAAAAAAAATGGAGCCACTAACTCAAACATCCTTATATGAGACTTACAACAAAGCTAAGTCCTAAATTGTATTCACAAAATTATGTAAATCTTAATTTTTATATAAATATTTATAATTTTGTATTTTAAAAAATAGTAAAACTATTTTGACATTAAATATAAATTAAATATTTTTAAAAGAAATCTAAAACTTCAAATATAATGGTCAAATGTTAGTTCACATCTCAATATTAATCTTTATCTATAATAAACAAATTAGTATATTATTATTATTTTTCTACTGATTATGTTATTAAAAAAAGTATTGAATGAAAATGAATATGATGTTTACTTTATAATCTTTTAAAATATAATAGTTGCAAATTATTTGATAAGAATTTAATTTCAAAAAATTAGAAAGTAAAAGAAAAAATATTACTGTGTTGTCACAATTATTATTTTCAAGAAAACAAATTTCTACCAACTTATGATACAATCGGAATTAGAAACTACTGAATTGTAAAAAATATTCAGAATATGAAAATAACGAGAAAAAAATAGAACAAAGTATTATAAGAAAAAAATGATAAAAGAAAGAACATTTATCGAAACATCTAGCTAATTTTTAATGGAATTTTTTTTATAAATATATATATCTTCTGAAACATTGAAATTAGAATAAATTATTCATCGTTTTGGATATAATAATTAATACTATCGATGATCTTACTTTATAAATATTGATAATATATTATCTAATTCATAAATAATTATAATAATTTAATATGGAGGATAAAATAATAAAGTTGCTTGACATTTTAAATAACAACAACATATTTTTATATAAAATAAAATTTGAAAAAAACGAAGAAGCAAATGACACTCAATATTTGAAATTTTCAAAAGATTTTTGTTCATCTTTTATTTATTATAATAATATCATTAAAATTAATTATTATATTTAAGATATATTTTTTTTAATTTTTAATTTATTACAAGTGTTTTTCTAGTGAAAATTTGATCGATTTCTAGGGGACCTAGGTTCTAATCAAATTTCATACACGTAGATTCTTTTTACTTAAGCTAGCAAACAATTTTCAATCGAAACATGCATGAGTATCGAAAATCCCAATGCTAACAACACAACCTACTGAGTAGATTGACAATCGAAAGTACTATTTTTGGTATTTTTTTATTAAGAAACGCGAAGTAAAGAAAGCAGCAAAGGGTATCGAAATGAAAAGCAGCACAGAATATTAAATTGCAGAGAAATGTAAAATGCGGAAACCTCAAATTTGCATTAAGTGTAAATGACAAGGAATTTAAACGCAGAATCTTAACTTGCATAAAGATAAAAGTGACAAAGAATTGAGATTGAAAAGACAGACACTTAAAGTTGATAAACGTAAGTTGCATGAAAGTAAATTGCATGAACATAAGTTATTAGGGAAAGTAAAGAAAGCGGTAAAAACAGTCAATGAGAATGGAAATCCAAATCGCCAGAAACTTCATGATTCGTCATTCTCCGGTAGACTTTTCACTTGTGTTTCTGCTGTCTCTGTCAATTTCCCCTTCTTCTTCAAGCTTCATTCTATTTATAGGCATCTTTCAATATAACCTCCCAAGAGCAGTTAAAAAACTGTCACCACGTTCCATGTGCATGTTCCTTGATTTTTTTTACCTTAGTTTGCGGTTTAGAAAACCGCTTCCACGTTCAATATGCATTATAATCGTTTCTCAATTTCTAACCTTAGTCGTGACGTGAAAAGCCACTATTCATGTTCCATCTGCATGATAATTGTTTCTCTCGATCTCGATTCCAGTTATCGAGTTCGATTTCCTTTAACTATGACTTTATCATTACTTTCATCGATTTGTTTCTCTTTTTTCTGATTCTCGATTCTCATTCTCGATTCATACGTTCATTCTATCTCGTGGTCAATAGGCATCTTCCCACCATCCTTCCGATTTATCAGCTTTTAAACAATCATATGACCTTCGATTTTCTCCCTTCTGTTTTTCGATCATTGTATCGATTTCTCACTAACAAAGTGATAAAATGTATTTTAATTTATTACAAGTGATAAAATGTATTTTAGTTAAACAATTTTATATTATTATGTCATGTGATTTGTTTTGAGGACATTTTAAAAAATTATTAATTTGAAATTTTATTTATAAAATATAAACTTAATTTATTATTTTCTCAAAATATGTGGCCTCCAAGAGGAGAAAGTGAGTACTCAGTCATATTGGAGTCTCGTGAATCGTGATGCAAACCCATCAATAGATCAGGCCACAAATAATTCAAGAAAGTGGGTGTGGGCCACTTTGAAAGGCTCGTGAATGGGCTTCTTGGCCCACTACTAGACATTTTATTTAAAATTAGTCAAATAAATGTTTTATTTTTTTTTGGTGGGCTTAAAAATTTAGCTTCGATTATAGTAGCAAAAGAGAGACATGTTATTTGTCACGTGGGGATATAATGCAAATAAGAAGGAAGAATAATGAAGTTGGAGGAATGTTGATGTAACAAAGACAGCAACAAACATGGCTCCAAAAATGCAGATGATCAGTTGCCAACAAATATTGCTGTCATTCTCAGTTTGGAATGGAATGCATCCAATGTAAATTAAGTATATATATATTTTATTAGTTGAATCATATATATAATTATAATTTTTATCTTGTAAATATTTTTTTTGTCTAGTGCATTTTATAGTAATTATGTTCACTACAAGAAATATTAAAATTACCGACGGTCAAAATCAGTCGGTAATAATAAAAATCCGTCGGTAAATGAATATTAAATATTTTACTTATTTATAACATTATTTTTTTATAGAACCACTCCCCTTATATTCTTATTATTTATTATTTCTCCATATTATATTTTTATAACTTTGAATTATTGTCAGATTAAGAGAAATGTCATTGACGAGATTCGAACCCGATGCATCTAGAGTCGAAGTACGATACTCCAACCACTAAGCTACTAGAATTTCTTGATAACAATTTACAAATAAATTATTATAAATTAATCTAATTATGATTAAATTAAATTATTAAATAAAAAATATTTTATTTTTTAATTAGTGAATAATTAAATTATATTATATAATTTTACCGACGGATTTATCCGTCGGTAAATAATTTTTAATTTATATATGAATTTACCGACGGATATATCCATCGGTAATTACTTGTTAATTTATCGACGGATTTACCGATGGATATATCCGTCGGTAAATTCATCCATAAATTACTCGACGGATTTATCGACGGATATATCCGTCGGTAACTAATTATTATTTTACCGACGGATATATCCGTCGGTAACATCAAATTTCACAAATATTTTATATCCGTCGGTAATTTCAGTCGGTAATGATTATTTTCCGACGGCTACAATTCCGTCGGTAAATATCCGTCGGTAATACGCGATTTTCTTGTAGTGGTTCTTTTATTTTGTAGTAATATTTTTTTCCTTGTTTCATCTAGGAACAAAAATGTCTCGACTCCATGTTCATCATAATAACATTGTTAAATATTTTCTTCTTATTCTGTTTAAGAACGAGAGTGTTTCGGCTCCATGTTCACCGTAATAATATTATTAGAATCAATTTTTATGTTTAAGATATTGTCCACTTAGAAAGTTTAATCTGTCATAATTTTGTCTTTAAAAGACATCTGTCTTTAAAAACATCTTAATGGGGTGAAAGATGAGAGTGTATATAAATTACTCTTAAACTCGACTCCTAAACAATGAGACTCATAAGCGTACAGAATTATCCTTATTTTTTTATATCTAAATAGACATATTATAATTTTTTTAATAGTAAAATTTTGTTATTGACTATTCCTCTTTTCTTTTATATATATATATATATATATATATATATATATATATATATATATATATATATATATATATATATATATATATATATATATAGCAACGACATTCTACATTTAGTTAGATAATCAAATATCCCTCAATATAAGGGCGAGTTTCAAACTTTGTTATATTGATAACTTTTTCATGTGCAGTACAACCCTTCATCTTGCAAAACGTTTGAAGTATATTTCCAATAATACCATGGAAGAATTCAATGCCTAGAACATATTTTAAATCTCTAAGGTCTTTGATGTGAAAGAACATATTTTAAATCTCTAAGGTCTTTAATGTGAAAGTGCTTAAGAAAGAACTCTTCTTTAAAACTTTTAATTTCATCACCATCACTCTTTAAAACTCTTTAAATCTACCTTTTACTATTTGTAACCTGCTTTTTGAATAGCTTCTCCAAATGTGGAAAACCAGTTTCTTGACCCTTCGTTGCCTCCATATTGAGATAGCATACAATGTTATCCTAAGACTTAGTAGAGGTTCCATGCAAATCATAGTGAAGAAAAACATTTTGCATATCTATTCGGGTAAGGTAACAAATTGTTGTGATCTAATGTTGGCACAATTAAAAAGTATACCTGAAAAGAGAAGTTCTAACTAAAAATATGTCTAAAATAAGAAACATGACAATCTTGGAAACCTTGGAAACAATCGTACTAAGCACACATAACAATTTCACAATTGGTTGAAAACAATCAAGAAATGCAAATATAAAAATTTGCACAAATAAGAAAAGCAACTCTTATTCAACTTATTTTTAAAAATAATCATTTTCTCAAGCACTTCTGAAAAAGTACAATTCCTATTTACTAATTTAAATTAAAGTGATCCAAACATAGCAATCCAAAGAATAAAGGATTACAAAGGTCAAGAAACTAAGCACAGGTACTTTTCCTTCAATCACAATGACATCCTATTCCAAGCCAGACATCAAAATTGATACCACAAACTTGAACAAGGGCATAGAAATATTGACATTTCTCATTATCTATAACAGTTTAATTTCATTAAGTACAATAAACAGGCTTCCAAATTTAGCTAAGCATATCCACAAGATTGATAACCAAAACCACCAAGTCTCTATACAGAACATTCTCGTGGTGATGACCTAAACAAAATTTAGAAGACACTCAAATTCAACTTTATAGTACAAAAGGAACAGCTCTATTTACATATCAAACTTTCTCAAGATCACAAGTTTTGATTCTTCAGCATTTTCCCTCAACCTACTCAAAGATGTTCATCCTAGTTAAGTCAAGTCATTTTTATAAGCAGTCACACTCAGCTTCCTCTATGTACACTTCTCTGAATGGAGTTTAAGCAACAGCAGAGATCCTAGAATTCTGGCAATCCCTGTTGAGGCAATCAAATCCCTCTACTCTAACTGTACTTGGTTTAAGTCCAAAACTCATCCTAACACTCCCTCCTTTGCGTGAAGATGGAGAAAGTAAAGCTGATGAAGATGAAGTTGTTAATGCTGGACTGTGCTTTTCATCTCTGAATCGAGCATCCTGGACCAAGGGATTCGTAGCTCGAACTGGAGGAGATCCACAAAAAAATGGAGGAGGAGATGAAGCTACCTGATTTGCAAACTCCTTCCCATGACTCTCCTGTTCATATCACACACCATTTCACAAATCAAATCTATCAGAATGACCAACTTGTGAATCTATGATCCAGGAATTTATCAGAAAGACAAATCAAAGAATAGCCAAGTTTTCTTGTAAGACTATATTCCTTTGAACCCAAAACCATTCTACAAAGTTTCAAATCAACTGCAGTTTCATTGCATAGTTGACATTGCAGGAAATTAAAAACAAACATAGCCTATGTAGACATGATTGTGATCAGGAAAAGTCTAAAATCCTTGACATCACAACCAAAACCATGGTCTCAAACCATTTTATAAAACCTGGTTTTAAATACCATAAAAATTGTCTACCAAAAGAAACAAAGCATGCATCACACACAATTTTATACAGTATCAGGGTTCAAGACTGTCCTAATTGACTTTTAGGCCTAGAGACAAATTTTCATAAAGTCATAGCTTACCTTCTTAAACATAATCTCTAGTAGCTCTGCCCCACCTTTTGAATCAGAGCCCTCGGCTTGCTGACTGCAAGAAAAATTAAAACACATAACAAATCAGATCTACAAAGGCGTCTAAATCAGATTAATGTCATCACAACTCAAAAGGGAAGCAATGAATTCCAATATTTACTTTAAATTCCATCTCAAGTGCCTTGTAGGCATGTTAGACACAACCCCAACTCGGCGTGGCTTAGGGCAAATGACAGACTCCTTATCAACAAAATTCACACAGCCTCTCATCTCTTCACAGGCTGCAAAGGCGTTCTTCTGAAGACCATAACAGTTCATCTTCGAATCACCTTTATTTCAAAGTAGAACACCTAAAATTAAAACAAAATTATACGCAGAACATGTCAAATTTGAGAGCGTGATCTTAAAATTGTAACACTCCGGATCTATACAACAAAATATAACAAAATTGTTCTCAGAAAATCTCTCTGACGCACATATTCAAATAAAAGAAATAAACAACATTATACTCGGAAAATGGAAAAATTGAGAGCATGATCTTAAAAATCGTAATCAATACAACACAATTATTCTGATAAGATGTCTCTCTCTAACACATGTACCTGTTGAGTTTTCTTTACAAAGAAATTAAGAGCATGATCTTAAAAATTGTCGCACTCCTAATCCATTATATAAACAGATCCACTCAACCTAAACACAATTAAAAAAAGAAAAAAATCCACAACCCATTTCACTATTTTCCAAAACCAACACATGAGGGTTAAACAAATTTCCACAAATTACCAACAAATTTGCGCTCAAACCATGAAAAATTTCCAAACTTTTTTCTGGTTCAAAGACACCCCATGATGGCAAACCTCCAAAAAACCAACCTTTAGCTCAAATTACCCCACAACAACCCAATGCCTCAAAATGGGGGCCTTCAAAACAAATCTCCAAAAAAAAAAAAACATTTTCTCAACATAAAGAGGAAAAACAACGACATAGCAAAGTGTGGGCAGATCTATCATATGAAACACGTTTTGTTAGACATTCCAAACCCAAAATTTGAAGAAACAACGATGGTTGAAACATGTTCAGATCTAGAACAAAGATCATGCAAGAGAGAGAAACCTGAGAGAAGAAATGAAGGGAAGTGGGAGCTAGGAGAAAGGAGAGGAAGAAAATAAAATTAACTGGAATGGATTTATAGTGGAAGATAGGTGTTGTCCAGTAAGGGGTCACACGACGTCGTTGCTATCATTCTATTTCCACGTTTTACCTATGCCAGCTTCTTTATTCCTGTTCTTGCATTTAACATGTTCTCTTATTTTGGACTCTACTAATAACTTGACACATTTCACTTAAATTGTCGTACTTTTCGGACAAAAATCTTACTTTAGTATGATAAAACTAAGGGTGTTATTACATTGATTTATTTATTTTTTAAAATTAATTAATCTTTAACTTGCATAGTAACTATGTATTTTATTTTATATAATTAAAATTTATAAAAAATAGGTTTGAATTTTATTTTAATATTTGTATCTTGTATGTGTAATTTTATTCTCTTTAAAAATTTAATTATACATTTAATCTTTCAATTTTTTTTAAATTTAACATTTTTATCTATATTTACTAATAAAAAAATGTTTGATGTCTTTAAATATTATATCTTGTTAATAATATTTTGCCTTGTATTAAAAAAACGTCAGCATTTATTTTCTACTAGCAAATTGATGATATGTTAATTTTGAAAAATTATTTCATTTTAAAAGAGTTAATACGTAGAGTTAAAATAACTTCCAAGTATTCGTTCATTCAATAACTATTTATCATGTTAAATAAATATTTATTTTATGATTAAAACTTATAATAAATAAATTAATTAAAATTTATAATAAGTAATTTTTTTACTATATTAAGTAATTTATATTCATGATTAATAATTTTTATTTTACCCAATATCAGTTTTGGTATTAATAATTTTTTTTAAATAATAAGCAGAATAAATAGTTATAACGATTTCCTTAATAAAGTTGTTATAATTTAAAGGATAAATATTTTTTTCAATTTGATCCTATTATTATTTTTTATATCAATTTTATTTTTTAAATAAATTAATTTAATCTTTTTTATCAACTTCATTAAATTATTTAATAATTGTATCACGTGATGTTGATTTGGTATTACATATTTATGTGAAATGTTAAATATATATATATATATATATATATATATATATATATATATATATATATATATTACATAAAATATGATTATATTAACAATACGTGTGATAGGTTATTTTTTGTTAGACAATTTAATATAATAGAAAGGATCAAATTAATTTATTTTTAAAAAATAAGATCAATTTGACAATTAAAAATTGTGAAACAAAATAAAAAAATAGTGATAATTTTTTTTTATTTAACATAATTTATAAACGGCAATAACTCTTACAACTTGTTCTCAATCAATTAAAACTAATTTAGATTTATAACATGAAAATACATTGAGTTAGTTTTTATGTTTAAAAATATGTTTTAATTTTTATTCAATTTAATATATTATCAACGATTTTTTTTTTTTTTATAGTATGATTGTTTTTCATTCAATAATTTATTTTTTACATCATAGTTTAAAAAAAATATTTTACTTAAATGCTTATATCATGTTTTAATATATAATATTTATATGTGTTATAATTATAATTTAATATTATTATACTTATTTTGTAATAAAATACAAACAATATTTTATCTTAAAAAAACAAAAATAATAAGATTATTAATTTTTTATATTTTTAAAAATTATTTTTGTAATATGTTACAAATTATATGTAATATAACATATTAATTATTTTTTTTGTTATTCTATTCTTAGGTTATTCAAAATCAATAATAATTTTTTGTTTTAAAATATATTAAATATATATTGTTATATTAATTTTTTAACACATAAAATGATATTTTGTTATATTAATTTTTTCAAAATATATTAAATATATTTTGTTACATATATACGACGTAGAAACCATGTTTATTATTTTTTTAAATAATATTTTGAGATTAAAAATTATTTATTATTTAAATAATTTTGAATAATATTTATTGTTCATTAAATAATACAATTAAATAATACAAATAAAAAAATTGTATGTTTGAATATAAAAATATATTTAAAATATTTAAAAAACTTTATAAATAAAATATTAAAGTGAATAATTTTTATAAACATTCATCAATCCAATAGAATTATATAGGTTAACTTTAAATTTAGTATATTACAACTCCAGTAAAACTTTAGATCAAAATATATAAAAGAAAGTTGAAGTCATGAAAAAATTATGTGAAAACAAAATTTCGAATGGGTATTTAGTAGATTTGGTTATCTTTAAGTTTAAGGAGAGAAATCTAGATAGTAAGATATGTCTTTTTTATGTTTTAGAACCAAAGTATTGATTATGGAGTACACATATACTTGGAGAAATTAGGATTCAAGAATATTTAGGTAAAGGAAGGTTAGTTATTTAAATAATAGTTTACCTGAAAATGAAGTATATATGTTATGGTGTATTGTAATGAAAGTATAAATATATGTTTATATTATTTTGGTGTTGTATGATGTTCATATTCCATGATTGTTGTATTGTTTGATATTGAGATGAGAAAATGTTAAACATTGGACAAACATTGTTTCTCGACTTCATTTCTTCTCAAGCCAGATCCGTGTTAATTGAGCAACGATGAAGTGGTAGAAAAGGTGGTCTAAAGTAGTGATGACTCGCTCAAGTAAGAGTTACGTTGACTTAATTTTTGCTTAAGTGAAAAATTTAACAAAAAGAGAGAAAATTGATGAAGCTAAATTTTCGCTCAAGTGAAATATTTTCGCCAAGTGAACGGTCCTAGAAGTTTTAGGTGTTTTTTGTTTGAACTTCTAAAAAATTATAAAAAATAGTTTGGAATTCCAAAATTCACATTCCATGTACTTAGACTGAAATCCTGAAAATAAGAAATATGATAAGACAAGAAATAGTAAAAAATGATATTTATACACTACAAGAAATACTGGAATTACCGATGAACAAAATTCGTCGATAACAACAAAAATTCGTCGGTAAATAAATATTACCGACAGATTATCGACGAGCAAAAATCTGTCAAAAATTATGTTGTCGGTAAATATTACCGATAGATTTAAATAGTTCGTCGGTAATTACTGACGGATATATCCATCAGACACTATTGTAGGTAATTACGTACGGATATATCCGTCGCAAGCTGCTACTGACGGATATATTCGTTGGAAAATATTGTAGGTCATTACCGACATATATATGTCGGAAAGTGTAATAGGTAATTATCAACGGACATATCCGTCGGTAATATCCTAATTTCTTTCCGATTCAATTTATTTTTTCAATAAACCATTTTCCTTGCATAATATGACACATTTTATATCAGAGGCAACACCAAATCCAGTTCTACTATTTCAGATCAAATTCAACTTAAATATAAGACAAGTAACCTCAATTGAAATCAAACATAGTTAAAATAACCTCAATTCAAACAAATGACATATAGTTCAAACTATCTATAATGAAACTTAATGTGTAAGAGTAACTATGGTTAGAAAGTAGAATAATATCAAATACAATATTATTTGACAAAATATCTAATAATGGGAATAATCAGGAGACTATTGTCCTTGTTGTTCTAGGTTGTTTTCTTCTTGTTGAGGTTGTTGTTGCTGACTATCTTGTTGACTGTGTTGGCGCTGTTGAATGAGGGATTGTGCACCAGGAGGTAGGAATTGAGCGACTGCACCCACAAGTGATTGAAACTCCCGAAATTGGTGCTCTAGTCGCTCATTATGCTCCCTTGTTCGATGAATCTCTTCCCTCAGTTGATTCATCTTTTCAACATCAACAGAGGAGTTGGCTGCTTGAGTCTGATGCTTGAGAGTATCAGAACCACCCTGGTAACAATGACCAAGTTGTCCAGCTCCATATAATCTTACCTTATTTTTCCGTCCAACAATGTCTACCTATCAGCGAGACCTAATAAGATCATCCTCTGCAGAGTTTGTAGGAGTAGACTCTGCTTCGCCAACACAGGAACCAGCAAATGACCTAGCTTGTGAAAGTCTAGTATGAAATTCCTCCTATTAGTACAAATAAAGAAATTTTGTGATATGATCAACTTTACATATCATAAAATAAATCAAAAGTGAAGAAAGTTACATGTGTCTTCCTAGAACTTTCATTAACAAAATGACCTGTATTTTTTTTATATAGGTCTGTTGGAAGATCTCATCAACAAACACTGATCTCCCAA